TTATTATTATTATCGTAATCAACACGAATATTAACTAACAGCATTAAAAAATTAAAAACACTACTACTGCCGAACCGTTTTTAAGCAGCGACTCTAATTACAGTTTGATTATGACAAAAATGTTAGAAACGACAAAGAATACAATGTAAAAATGAGTGGTAAATCTACCATTATTCATAAGTCATATTTAAAACTTAAAATTATACACCTACGAAACAAAAAAGATACAAAGAGAAAGAAAAAAGAGTGAGCGTTAAACAGCAAAAAAAAAAAGACTAGAAATTCTTAATTTACCTAGAAAGCATTAAAGTATTCTTTATTTTTCTCACCTAAAAGACAAGTTACAGTCACTATCATTGTTTCAACATTAATTGTCATCTATCTTAAAAACTTTGCTCATTTTTCCATCTCTTTACTCCAATTCTTTTCCGGTTAGAAGCTGCCATTTCATTTTCTCTGTTTTAAACACTTCATCCTTTCCTTTCATTTTTTTTACTCCTTCTTTCTTTCTTTTGTTCGTTTCAATTGAAAAATAGAATTCTTCTAAATTCAATAATAATGTAAAAAAAAAACGATTTTATTGCTGCCAACTAATTAGCGTAATTCCCCGATATAGATCGCACCTGTATAAAACTCTTGTTGAATAGCGAAATAAGCGATAACAAATAGCGCATTTCTGTTGCGAATATCATCGTCCATAAGATAAATCAACCACATTAGAATCAATAAAAGACTGTTGATGAGAACAAAATATCCGAAGCACATTGTGAGCCAACGACAGGCGGCAAACAAAAAGTTTGGATGATAAGATGGATGAATGGATGGATGGATGGATGGATGGATGGATGGATGGATGGATAGATGGATGGATGGATGGATGAATGGATGGATGGAACAGTAATTAAAGAAAAGAAACTTGTAGAAAAAGTAATATCAAAAAAAAAAAAAAAAAAGATTAAAAGACAATAAATAGAAATAAAAATAAAGATAAAAATAGAAATAAAAATAAGTATAATAAGAAAAAAGAAAAAAACTTTTTTTATTTGATTCAGAAATTAAACGAAAAAATACCAAAGACAAAAATAAGCAAACAGGCCAGTTGTGAGTGAAGCCCAAAGGGCAAATGAAGAAAATCCAAGAACCCTGTTTTGATTGCGTTATTTTTGCTAACAAAACTAACTCTGCCAATGGCACAGGACGACAACCACATAAAATTTGCTAGTTTAGGTGCATCTGAAGGTGAACCAAACAAAAGTGTTAACCAGCCAACTAACTGGACCAGTGAACAAATGGACGAAGCGGAACAGGACGGATTGATAGTTGAATGAATGAATGGATTAATGCAGTGATAGATCCATCAGCAATGAGATGGCTTCTCTGTAATGTTGTTCAGCTTGCTAATGCCGTTATACTAAACTGTTATTCATACTGATTTATGACTTTGTCTAATTCATTTTGAACCAATAAAAATTTTCTCAAACAACATTGTTACTAACAAGCAATGTTCATGTTGCTTTTCGCTATGTACACACAAAACCTTTTTCCCAATTTTTTTCTTTTTTTTTTT